AGTTTGCACAATACCTGTTGCTGACACAGGAGCCCACGTTATTTGTGGAATGCGTGATCGTGAAGATCTGGCCAGCTCGGTAGGCATCTTATTACCGAGAGTGACACTTTCTTGGATATACAGCTGCACATAGACAGAAAGCTTGAGAAAGATTAAAATAAAAAGCAAATGCATTTTGTGGTTAGTATTTAATTGTGCATAATGAGCTACATGACTGGGTGACAGGAGAATACTGGATGTTTTGGGCAGTGGACACTTAACAGGTGCTATTATATAGGCAAAATGAAATTTCTCTTTGCTGAAAATCCAACTTTTTTCTACTGCCTGTCTAACTGCAACAACAATTTCAAACATTAATCTATGAAACTAAACTGTTCTTCTTTCAGTTTATTTTTCACCTGTGTTCTCAATTTTTGATATCTGATACTGATTTTTAAAATAAAGTGTGTTGATAAAAGTTAAGTCTACAATACTGAGTTTGATCACAATGGTCAAGTAGTTTGGACCCTCTTGTGAACAAAACTAGTATGTGATTTTTCTAGATTCTCTTTTGAAACACGCATGAAAAAGCCAAGGTGTTATAACATAAAGACATTTGTTTGCACAAGTAGAGGCAAACAGAACCTCTTAACTCAGAAATGAATGGCTAACAATTTTATTACAACTGAATAAATCATGCAAGGAACAAGTTTGAAACCACATATTCTGAATTATGATACAGCGTAACTCAAGAATTTTCTACATGTAATCTGGCATACAGTATTGAAAACACCCAAACTTTTCCAACTATAGCACTTATAGAAAAAATATACATCTTCAATGCAACCAATCAGTCTTGGCTATACAGGGAGGAGTTATGCTCACCTGTCTGTTATGCATACCGATATACAATGACGGTGTCAGTGGGCCCATGCCATCACTATAGGAAGGTGTCCACTGTGCACCACTGAAGAGGTTAACTGGGTGCATCTCCTCTTGAAACAGGTACCATGCAGCCACAATTGGTGACTCAAACTGGAACAATGACATTTCAAACAGCAGACATTCAGAACTGCACTGAATCAGGAGCCATTAAAAACACACATAATAATACTGCCATATCCAGTGTTGAAGCCCAGTAGCACTAATGAGATAAATGAGAGTGTTATGTAGGAATGACTGAGACTGGCTGATCCTATGCTGCAGGTTTGGCCTCTAACAAACAAAACAAGTGCAGCAGTTAAATCTGAAGTTGCACGTTAACAATTTTACCAAGGAACACTGACAG